ATATATATATATATATATGTTTACATATATATATAAAACACATTGTCAATAGACTCGTACGCTTGCTCATTGCGACTTGCGTCGCATTAACGACGGCGCAGATCGTGTTGCACTCGCGCCTTTTCGCACTTGACAAACTTAACTCTTCTCGCCAAGGTGTGTACACGTATCTCTCTCCAGCGCCTTGTTTTCCCTATTTCTTTTTCTCCACCCTACGTTCACATTTCTCGGCTGATTCGCCACAAAGTGTCGATATACAAAATTTACGGTACATGGTGAGGATGGATGGAAGGAGTATGTATATATATGTATGTATATATATGTGTGTGTGTGTATATATATATATATATGTATATATACATACAATACACACACATATATATATATATATGTATATATAAGAACGCATACAAAAATCTTTATATTCACCTGTTCCGTTCTCCCCACTTGGCCGGATGCGTGCATCGTACCGACCTGGTCCTAAGATGTTGTCGAGCACCTGCTTTTCTCTTTCCCGAAAGTTCACCTTCGGCTGTTGCATGCATCTGAAAAAAAAAAACATTTAAAAAAATATTGTTATTATCATGAAAAAATGTAACTTTTGAAAGGAAAAAAATTCAGCAAACAACTGGATATCCATTTTGTGAATATTCCAGTGTGATGGCTATCAAAGATAAAAAATCATAAAAATATTTAAACATCTTTAAAAGAGAAAACTTTTAAAGAGAAAAGTTTCTCATGAAAAAAATGAATGTTTGCTAATAATTTTCAGAAAATATTTAAAATTATTGTATAAATCTTGCTCCAATTTCATAAATATGACGCTCGTACATCTGTCATATGAAATGGCGAACGTAAAGTTGGATACATAGAGTTTCATATAAACTTTATGCGCCATAACGATACCTGCGTAAGTCAATAACATGCATTTTTACGAGTCATAATACGTAGCATTACATTTCTATTGCCAGATTTTCTTTCGCGGGATTGCGTGTCTTGATGTCATTCCACATCCAAACTTAAATTTAAAAATTCAACTAATAGGTATAATTTATGCAAAATTCACCATTTTAACAAAAAACAAAAATTTGCATAAGAACAGATGCCATCAAAAATGTGAAACACACTTTTCAAGTTATGTTTTACTAAAACAAACCTACCTCGATAGATGCAGCAGAACTGCCAGTATTACCAACAACGGTAGTACTCCAGGCCTCATTGCGCCGGCCTGTAACCGAACAAAATGCACTCACATACCTTGACAAAAATTCTTGCGAAACGAATCCCTATGAGAATTTTTCGCATTAGTGATGATTAAACTTGTATCACACGATTCAATCTACATATTACTCTCTTGCGATTTGCTCGTTTTATTTTTATTTCCATATGTCTTCGACATTACTTTTAAGGTAAAAATCACTTATACATACATACGTACAAGTTTTTATTTAAAATTCGGTAAACATATAAGAAAAATTCAAAATATTCATCAAAAGCAAATAAAATGATATAGTTTAATTATAAGTGTCAGATTTCAAAAATTCAAGTGTAAGTGTTGTTTCCAAACTAAGAGACTCAATTACGATGTCATACGTGCGGATATTTAATACAGCACGCGAAGAAGCCCGAGAAGTACAAAGCCGATGCTTTCATTTACCGTATCTCACCAACTGCTCAAGATCGAATCAAGGCAACATGTGCGGATTAAAATGCGGCGAAAACCTTTGCGTGTATTTCGCACAAAAGTATCTACTGTTTCGTAAGAGATTAAATTGATTACGCGAAGGGAAGTTTCCCTAAGCAGAAACAAACACGTATCATACGATCGGTTTCACGAGAGTAAAAGGCGACGAGAATACGAGAGAAATCGGCGCTATACTGGATTGCCACTCGCGTTTTACTGACGATGAGAATTTGTATCGAGATACTCGCAACTGACGAGATCTATTTAGTCGGTTTTAGAGACGATTTATCCATCAACTAAACAACGACGAGCAAACTGGACGGGTGCCTCGATTTGTGAATCGAGCATGTAGAAGTGGTTCTATCACATTCTCGGAACTGAGCCAAAATACGCACACCTGACCTATTTACATCAAAAGAAATCGGACAATTCTGATGGATAGGATAAGCAATTTTAAGAAACCATTAGGTGCGTTCAGACAACTCAACAGTTGCACAACGGTTGAGAAATAATCACTTCTGATTGGATCATACTTTTGGAACCGCAGCAGATTTTGAAGAATAATCCTATCATAAGTGATGATCTCTCAACCGTTGAGTTGTCTGAACGCACCCATTGTTTACATATGTGCCGTACGCAAAAAATATAACTCTACACTAGAACTCGAATGCACATACCCTACTCCTTACGAAATGTATATTTTGAGCGACTGGTACGTCCAGATTAATAACTGCGCGGCGCAGATAATTGCGGGTTGCCCAGCAACGACGTCGCTTGGCAATATCGGGTAACCCAAAAGTTTCGAGTACCGCGACCGAGATCGACCCGCGTTACAGCTAACTCTATTTCGCGGGTTCAAAACCGAGACAAATCTGCAGATTTCGGGTATACTTGAGAGACACTAATCAGCTATTCGAATAGGCTAGGTTTGCCCTACTTGCTCTTCTTTTCTCGACTGTCACTTCTGAAATATACGCATAATATAAAATACCTACACCGCCTAAAAGATTCTGTTCTAATTTTTATCCTCTGAGAGAGAAAGAGAGGAGAGAGAGAAAGAAAGAGAGGAGAGAAAGAGAGAGAGAGAGAGAGAGAGAGAGAGAGAGAGAGAGAGAGAGAGAGAGAGTGATTTTTTTAGCAACATATAATTACTGATAGAAATTTTGGTAAAATATTGAGTTGTAAAAAGTTGAGTTGTATATGCACTTTTATAAAAAGTACATATGAAATGCGACGATATCTTGTCTAAATAAAGAGTGACCTCGATCTAAATATTTCCAACTATATAACTGTTTCAAAACCGAGAAAATTGAAAGATTAAACGTCTTTAAACCCGCAGTTTTCTTATACAAACATTTGATTGCACATACAACTTTGCTGCATTAATATCCGTTGTTTCAAGATACTTCACGATCTTTCGTGAAATATATTGCATGTAACACGCGTTTGCCGTAGATATGGTAATATCAACATATGCGATATATGCGACAAAGTATATTAACGTCAAAATGATTTTGACGGACAGTCTATACTTTGCCTTCGGATGATTAAATGTAATTACGTATAACAAAGTTTATACAACACTAAATGAGCGAGTAAGTATGTAATAAGAAGTCCTTTTTGGTCAATAATGTCAATGTTGTTACCAGAGAAGACACGAGAGCACACTTATCGTCGCGCGAAATCTTCTGTGAATTACGCTCATGTCACTAATACATGTCGTTAGTGAATAAATCAACAGTTTATTGAACGAGATAACGACTACCTTTATTCATAATATTAATTGATAATTTATGGTTCTTAAAATCTTGCGATAACATAGATTAGCTCATGTTATATAAACATCTTCATTTCTCAGGAAAAAAGTTTTCACATAAAATGTGAATTAAACACACACACAAACAAAGTTTTTAAATAAAATTCACTACACAAATGTATGCACAAATATATTATAAAAACAACAAATTTTCTGAAAACCTAACAAACTCCTCACACATAATCTACGTGAATAGATCACACAAACACCATAACTCATAATTTAGATACTAGCTGACAAATGGTAACAAAGAAGAAGAGCGTACGGCCGAGTTACTGTGAGAAGACAGGGAAACGATTTACAACACATGCTCTTTGAGTTCGTTTACCGTGCACGCGTGTCTCTATCATCATCATTGCGTGTTAATAGGGTAAAATAAATACAGATTTTGCCCGCGACGAATTGGGTTATCATACAAAAATGGATCATCATAGTGATCAGTCATTGATTGACCAAAAAAATGTCATTTGATAGAACAAAAAGAGAGATAAATAAAGCGCTCGAAAATGCGTCTACGTCGTAGTTTGATGACATCGTATATTTGTGACGCGTGTTCTCCCTGCAATTTATCAATCTTGATGCAACTTTAATAGCGAAATCCTCGTCACGCTTATCGTTAAGTTAAAAAAATCCGACGGAAAGATGGAATAAGTATAGACGCGTGTTAAAAAATTATAATGTTTACAGAGACACAGTTCTGGAAAATTACTCCTGAATATACATAAATATAAGTCGTGTTAGAATCTACAAATATATGATAAAATTCTTTTATTACATTTTTTAATTTTAATTTTACAGATTAATTTCTTTATAATACCTATACATATCTAAACGTTACTTGAGAAAGTTAATTATTGATGAAGTGAGATGATCATAAAGAATTCTCTGTCTTGTTTAAATTAATAAAATTTAAAAAAATATATGTATATATTTATAAAATATATTCAAATATAGCTAATGTGTAAAGTATAAATCGAAATTTTGCAAGAAAGAATGTATTTTTCTAATTGTGCAATTTTCAACAATGTTGAACGATTGACCTATCAATCTGTTTATTCGTGTATCTCGATACGTCCGTATCTACGAATCCGTCTTTCCGTTCTGCCAATTGCCCATATTTATCTGTCAGTCCCGTCCGTTTCGGCGTTGCCGTCGATCCGCCCATCGGTCCGCCGGTCCATCTATCAACCTCTACCCGTCTATCCCATGTCATCCGCCTAGCTACCTGCGTATATGTACACGTATACTTACTCAATATGTTTCTGCCAATCTAAGCCTTCGTATCCACTTGTCCCATCAAGCTTTCTTTATTGTTCTTATTTATTGCAAACTTGTTTGCCCTTGTCCGCTCTCTGACTTACATCTACACGCGGCCTCAATTGACCTACTGATCGGCTGTACAACTCGTTCTCAGTCTCCCTTGAGAGTTCCGCGAGTCCCGGGGATTCCCCGTCGTAATTTTCAAACGGACGTCGATCGCGCCGGAGCGTTGGTTAGTCGCACGTACTGAGACTGAATCGCACGAAACAGGATTCGCGCGCACTCTTCGTTTGAGCGCAAAGGCCGAAGATTGGAAAATCTGGGCACAGCTGGCTTTATATCCTTACCTGGAGAGGATGATGGTCCTAGACGCTGGGCAGCCCGCTGCTACGTTCGTTCACTGGCATAGCGCCGCTCTTTTTCTTCGGTACGATACTAACAGGCCGCCGAACTTTTCTCTCCCTCTATCTATCTATTTCTCTCTCTCTCTCTCTCTCTTTCTATCTCTATCTCTGTCTCTTTCTTTCTCTCTCTTGTTCGATTTGTAAAGTGTCCTACCTCGCGAGGTTCGTCTCCTGGACTGCCACCGTGGAGAAAGCTACATGCACCCATACCTACTACCTGGTTGCTGGCGCGCGCTATTGATCCCGGACCCCCAGACACCCACCGACCTACGCAGACGCCTCGCGTTGCCGCGTCGCTTTAGCAACGTGACGTCATTCACTACCCCGCGACGCCTAGCCTGCCGCCAGATTTTCTATACATCTTTCGTTTCTCTCTCGTGAACTTTTCCTGCGCTGATGCCGCCACCACTGCTGAGAGCGACAACAACGTCGGCGCTACTAGTTTCTATGTGACTCCACGCAATTCGCGTGTGTGCCATGACATCGCTTATTTCGCTAAAGGAATATCTGATTTTATCGAGCAATCGTTGATATGATATATGAATAATGACATTTAATCTACTATAGATATATAACATATATTTATCATATGTATGTAATAGATATATTTATATATATTAAATTATATACATATATATATATATATAAATTACATACACACATACATATATAATTTAATAAATAAATATTTATTAAATATATATAATAAATAACAGTAATTGAAAACAACAATATTGCACAATAATATTAAATAAAATAATGATTGACTTAATAAATTCAAGAATTTATCAATATAAAACTATGTAAATAAACACTATAAGTATTATAGCGAGACAATATTAATTTGTTGACATTTATGTTTGAGAAATTCAAACGCGCAACGATACCTGTTTGGTATATCAAAGATACAGCAACGATATCAAAAATTCGTTCAGTTTCTACTTCACAGAGTATCGATACGTCGTTTTGATCACCATCGAGCTTGAGGCTCCGTTTTCAACTATCGATATTTACATATATGAGATATTCTCGCTCGTCTCCGGTCCTTATGCTCGAATTAACTGAGAAGGATTCGTAATGAGAAGCTAAACGAATTCGCGTCTATAATGAGTACGCATGGCAGCCCTTAAGGCTGTTCTTTTTATTCGCACATTATATAATTGCAACGTCGAGAAATGCGAAAGGTAACGTCACTTTTTAAATGTCGTTAATTATATTAAAAACTAAATTAATAAGTAACAGAAAAGGAATGCAAGAATAACGTCAGATTTCTCTTATATAACTGTAAAGCTTGCTGTTTGCTGCTGAGTACATAGATAAATGCGTATAGACACATATATGTGTCCCGTATAAAATATAGGATTATACAAGAATGAATGAAATGTCCTAAATCTTTTTTATCTTAAGCAATTCTTGATCAATTTCCGGGCAGCGTGTTTCGTGCGTGTTTTCTGAGCGAAAATTTTTTTGTGTACCATCCAAATTATTCTTTTCTTGACGGAAACTTGCATCGCGATATCTACATTATCACAAAGTGTCAAGAGTCATTTTATTTTGCTAACTCATCGTCGCGTGCTAACTATGAATCGTGCGCGCCGAGAGATTAAACGTCCACTGGTTTTACAAAAAGACACGCGATAACTTCTCGCAGAGACATATAGCGTGCAATATTTATCTCGCAATATTTTTATTTATTTTTGAGAGATCTCTCTCATACTATTTTAAAAACATATGTCAGAAAAACTCTTGCTCTTAAAGTAGTGCATCGCAGTTTTTTATTTTTTATTGATTGTATGTACGTAATCAATGCAAATTTGAATTTTTTTATTAGCGTATCATCGATATGATTATATAAAAAGAGAAGAAAATATAGTAAAAAAATAAAATACTCTGAAACAGCATAACTCTTTTATTGTGTATCAAGAGGCACGGTAGTGCCTCGCGCCAAGTTCACGCGCGCCCGCGCGCGCAAACTGTACGAGGCACACTGTACCTATTATACGCGAAACTTATATATTTTTGAAAGTAAGAAATTGTTATTCCGCAATTTTTTAATAACGACTGAACCGATCGACTTCTTTTTGAACTCGTTCGAATCGCGTTGAAAAAATGAAGAAAAAAGTATTCTTGCGTTTTTTTTGTTTGTGGCTTCTGAACGGATATTAACTACAGGAAGTTTCTAGTGTACTTTTATTATGTATGAAGAATTATAAAAGTGTTAATTTTTTTGTTACAAAAGGGTATAAATATTTCTTTTTTAAGAAAACTTACCACGTTGACTGTCACGCAAGTTCTATATGTTTTGTCCTGAAAGCCAATAGAATTCTTACATAATTCTAATATAATATAATATATTCTAAGTATATAATGATGAAATATTAAGTAATATAGTTAAATAAGATCATATTTTTATTACTAGTGCGTTTCTCTCGCTGATAGTCACCTATAGCCTTCCAGTGTACTCTCGGTTACTCTTGAATTGCGTCTCCAAATTCGATTTCACTTGTAGTAAACTAAAAATCTATAATTTACATCACTTATATCATAGATTAGCTTTTCTGAAAATGTTACGCCTTAAAAGAACCCTGCACGAAATAATAGGGTTTTGAATCACTGTGAAATTGGTTAAAACTGAAATATGTTGTAGTCCTTCTGAACAAAAATCCTCATAGGCGCGAAACCTGAAAATGGCCAGTTTTTGAGATACGGTGAATCAAAGACCGCTAAATGATCACTTACAGCAAGTAAAACTTATGGATTCCTTGTTCATTAATTTTATATATGTATATATATATACATATATATCACTGAACTATAAACTATACTGGAACGCTCACTCAATGTTGAGCAGCAGGTCACTCGAAAGATAGAGATAGGTATATTTGTCCCCATATCTATCCTTGTCTGAGCATTTCTGCAGCTTCAAATATTTTTCGAGATAGGGTAGGGTAGTATAAGGTTAGAAAAAAACAGGCTAGTGACAACTCTCTATCTTTATTGTCCCGTTTCTTCCTATTTGAGTGAGCGTTCCAGTATAGTATATAGTTCAGTAATATATATATATATACAAGGTCATCAAAAAGTATCGGACCCTCCTAATATCTTCAGTTAGAATGCATTTTGGAGAAAATGTCCAATAGCAAACTTGTATGGTTTTAAGCGAGGAGTAAGATGACCTTGACTTTGATCTTGACCATGTCCTTTAAGGTTATTTCAAGGTCAACCTTATTTTTTTTAATGGAACCCTCTACATTTTATTACATATTTTTATAGCTTATCTCGAGAGCTTTCCAAAACACTATAATAAAACATTTTTTCATTAAGTACTTTTTGAGGTATAAAGGTTTGAAATTAACAATTTGTTAAGTGGCGTGTGATTCCGGCCAGTTAAAAACACTAATTATTAAGTGTTGGTCCAACTATTGATTTGTTTATTTCAACCAGCACTAGCAAAAAGCTCGTTGAGCAACTGAAAATCTAATAGATCAATTAATAATATTTACGAAAAATTTCTAGGCTATTGGAAACAAAATGAAGATTTTTGAGACAATCAATTGAAGCGCAATGGCTTCTTTTGTTACAGAAAAAATTTTTGGGGCGGTTTGTTTTCATCCACGAGGTAACTGCTGCTCGCTAAGAAGAAGACAGCACTGCATCAAAGATTAAAATCAGTGATCCGTATTGTTTGCTCAAGAGCTCGTACATTGGTGCCTGCGAGAGTGAGAGAATAAAGATCGGCCCCGCCAACGCTTTCGGGCAGATTCCCGCTAACGCCTTCGGACATCACGCATTCGAGCAACTTCTCGCGGTCACCTTCGGGCAGTTTTCCGCCGCAGCCTACTAACATAACCGCTTAAAGCCGTACAACTTTGCTATTGGACATTTTTCCAAAATGCATTCTTACTGAAAATATTAGGGGGATCCGACACTTTTTAATTAATGTATTTTTTTTAAACCAATTAATTGGTCTCATTATTCCGCGCACAAAAGTATTAAGGTTATGATTACTGAAAACTAAATAATATTTTACAAGATATTTTACATTTTGTTTCAAAAAATTGTTAACTTCAAACCTTTATAACTCAAAAAGTACTTAATGAAAAAATGTTTTATTATAGTGTTTTGGAAAGCTCTCGAGATAAGCTATAAAAATATGTAATAAAATGTAGGAGGTTCCATTAAAAAAAATAAGGTTGACCTTGAAATGACCTTAAAGAACATGGTCAAGATCAAAGTCAAGGTCATCATCTTACTCCTCGCTTGAAACCATACAAGTTTGCTATTAGACATTTTCTCCAAAATGCATTCTAACTGAAGATATTAGGAGGGTCCGATACTTTTTGATGACCCTGTATATATATTGTGACGGTCACTTCGCTCTGGGATCTTTTAGCGGAAGTGTCGCACAATTTCGGCACGTTTGTTCAATCAAAAAATAAATTTTTACTCACCAAATTCGATAGTTGAGCGCCAGGCGTGCTTTTACACACCAAACTCAAAAATCTCAATTTGCACTAAGAATTCCGGCAGATAAGTTCAACGTGACAGTAATGTCACTCGGCAGTTCAGTTTTATTTAGATAACGTAGAGGCGTGGGCTCAGGAGGCAGTGTTTGTTAAATAAGGGCAGAGAAACTTGCTCGTTAATTGATAATCAGAATGAAATTTAATATTAACAACTTGAAATGAGTGTGACCGATCGCCAGCCAGAATTGATATTGGTAGTACAGACAAAAGAAAGAAACAAAAAGAAAACAATATATACAGTAAAAGAGCGCGGTAAAATGTTACATATGTCGGTCACATATTTTCGGCAATATTCACAATTTCTTTGTCAATATTTGGAAAAGTACAAAGATATGCTATTCAATATTTCAAAATTACGCGTTCCAAGAGACTATAATGAACGAACGAGATTGACGCAAACAAAAAAAAAAAAAAACAAAAACACGACATACACAAATGACGAGCCAAGAGAAGCCCGGATTGTTGCGACCGACTGATCGGGACAAGAGCAGCGGCAAATAAAGATAATTATTCTTATTATTAACAAACGTAAACCGCAATACACTATATTTTCGGCAACATATCGCGCAATATCGAACTCGCGGGATAGCCCGTCGAGATTCGATTCACGAACAATACAAGTCGCGAGATGTGCTGAAGAGAACCAACCACACTTACGCTACGGCGACTCTCTACAAACCAGTAACCATTCTGCT